AACACTACTTCTTTCAGTGCTGTTGCCTCAGAACCTTGGTGGGAGCTGTCAAGTCACCCTGTTGTAATGCAGTGACTTCTGACATAGAGTTTGGCTGTTTCCTTAGGTTTTGGTCAGGATCCACATGTATCTTCCTGCCCCTGTAGGATGCTGCCAGCCCTGGTGATGAGTGTGAGATGGCAGAAGGTTTATGAGCAGGTTCCTGCAGTTTGCTCACAGCAGCTCTCTCTCCCCAGGTCGTGGCTGTGTATGGAACTCTCTCAGATCTGCTCTCTGTGGCCAGTAACAAGCTTGGAATAAAAGCCACCAGTGTTTACAATGGCAAAGGTGGACTCATTGATGATATTGCTTTGATTAGGTAAGGATTAGCCAATAAAAGGCAAGTCAGGGGTGTGGATTAAGAGATTAGCCTCTTAATCCTCCTTAATCAATAACTAATGCTTTCCTTATCGCTGTAAAATTTCCAGCCAGGGTGCCCAAAGGTCCATTCATCCCCCCCAGGAAGATTAATCCTGGATTTTGAACTTCATTTCTCTATTGATTAATCAAAACTTGGTACAAACTGTGTTTGAGACCTTTTAACATCCACCTGGGTTGATTTCCAGGGCAATGTGTGTCCAAGGAAACCTCCACTGTTCCAACCAGCCCTTGGATGATTTGAGAAGGCGCCAAACTCCAGCACTGCTTTGGCTTCACAGAACATTCCCAGAGTGGGGAGAAATGCAGCTGTTTTATGTAAAGTCAGTTGGGTAACAGAAGTTGTCCCTGCCTGGTGTCTGCAGAACATCTCCAGTGCAGTTAGTCCCTCACAGTCCACTGGGACCTGCAAAGTAGACAGAAAAATGAGGTACTGGAGTTGCAGCTAATGACAAGTGCAGGCACTCAGGAGGGACTAATCCTACTGTCAAGTGGATGAAAAAAAAAAAGATGATTAACCTTATTTTTTCCTCTTCCCCCTGCCCTGTCCTCCCTCAGGGATGATGATGTTCTGTTTGTCTGTGAAGGAGAGCCTTTCATTGGTGAGTCTCATTCTTCTATTTCACCTTCTCTTGAACAGAAAGAGCTTTTATTTTGCTCTCCTGTAAATCGGTGCTTTTATCATCTGGTGTTTTCAGAAGATACTTCTTACCATAGGGGAGTAATTAAGAAATACAGTTTTTCTAGCAACTCCTAAGTATTCCTCTCTGCTGTGTAGATCCTCAGGCTGATGGGAGACCTCAGGAGGAGCTGACAGGGGCACACACAGACTGGCTGACACTCAATGTGGGAGGCAGATACTTCACCACCACACGGTAAAAATGGCTTTGCTCTCAAAGAACTTCATTATGGTGAAGCAAAAGAGCTTGAAAAAAATGATTTATTGTGAGTTAGGAACGTATTGACTTCTGTATCTTCCTCTGTATTTGCCACCACAATTCTGAAAGGAATTCATTCTTTTCTTTATTGCCCTTTTGTTTTCCAGGAGCACTCTGGTTAACAAAGAACCTGACAGCATGTTGGCTCACATGTTCAAAGATAAAGGTGAGGAGAGTGAAATAAGCTTTACTTATAAGGCACAAATCAGCAAAGTAGGGAAAAGGCACTATGAGCTTAGACTCTTGTTCACAAAGTATGTTAAGATACACAACATATAATCTGTTCTTTTAATGACTTTATGTCTCTGCTGCTCTGTATATCATCTCCCACACTGGAAATATAACCCACTCAGAGTTAATATTTTGGGTCCTTTTTTGTTTCATTTTAGGTTTGATTGTTGCCTCTTGCTCAGTTTTGTGCCTAGAGTCCATGAGCAAACACCACACAAGGCTTGTAGGATACAGTCACACTGAACCCTTAGTGCTGCTTATTCTAGCCATGACTTATTATGTGATACAATAGTTACTTATAGCAGGAACAAGCTCATTTTAAGCTGATTTTTCATCCCCCAACTCCTCTTTTCCTTCCTTTCCTCTCCAAAATTCCCCTCCCAGTGGAACATTTCCCATCCCCTTTGGTAATAACAACCTGAAACTGCAAAGCAAATGCTCTTCCATGAATCTCTCCGATTTAATTATCTATATCTGTTGTGGAAACAGATGCTTGGGGGAATAAACAAGATGCTAGAGGAGCTTTCCTCATTGACCGCAGCCCTGAGTATTTTGAGCCCATTTTGAACTATTTACGTCATGGACAGCTCATTGTAAATGATGGCATTAATTTGCTAGGTAGGTACTACCTGTCTGACATCTTCTAACTTCCTCTTCTTTGCAAGTTAAGCTTTGCCCTCAGCTGAATTTGAAGCCAATGGGACCTTTGTGTGCTCAGCCTGGTTGGGATTTGCCCTTGGTGGATTTAGTCTCAAGCATTGCAATTTCACTGCTTTAATGACTGGTTGTTTATCCTGAGAGCATTGAAAATGCTCCATACTGGATTAGTATCTGTCTGGAATTCTGGAGTTGGTATCTTTAACCTATTTGCTGGTGTTGGAAACATCGTGGCTGAGTTCTTTTTGCCTCTTAGCTCCCTTTTCCTCCACTCATCTAATCTAATGTCTGTGGTTGTTCTCCAGTGAGGGGAGAGGGGTGATCTCTGACTGAACAATTCCCTGGCAATGACAAGCACTGCTCTGTTCCAGGTGTCCTGGAAGAAGCCAGGTTTTTTGGGATCGACTCACTCATCGAACAGCTCGAAACAGCCATTAAGGTAATTTGTTTTCTTGGACACCTGAATTCACATGTGCTGTTCTTTCAGGCACTGTGTAATTCAGTGCTCTCTGTGTTAGCTGTTGCACCACTCTCCCCACAGAATTCCCAGCCTGCTGAGGATCATTCCCCCATATCCAGGAAGGAGTTTGTCAGGTTCCTCCTGGCAACACCCACCAAGTCCGAGCTGCGCTGTCAGGTGAGACCTCACAGGCTTGGTCTTTCTCACACACTTCTAGGCATTTCTTCCTAACATTTTAGGATGTTCAGGCACTGGAATGTTGCCCAGGGAGGTGGTGGAGTCACCATATATGGAAGGATTTAAGAGATGTCTGGATCTGGTACTTGAGGATATGGTTTAGGGTTTTACAGCAGTGAAAGGTTGACCTGTCATTCATGGTTAGACTTGATGGTCTTAGAGGTTTCTTCCCACCTTGGTGATTCTATCCAGTTTAACTCTGCCCTCTCTCCCTTTAAACCATTGCCTGTTGTCCTGGCACTGTCTGTAGTTGGTGTCTGGTGCTGAAATATTCTTCAGCATCATGTGACAACATGAAACCCAACATGATTCTCTTTAACTGAGTTCTAATTCTGAGCTGTGATTGAGTGACCTCACCAGGAAATTCAGGTTTGCGGTTGGGCTTCTTGCCTGCTGAAGGGTGAAGGGCTCAGAGGAGCAAGGACAATGCTTGAGAGCTTTGCATTTACATTTCATTACTCTCAGGGAGTAGAATAAATGTGTGTATATATATCTGTTTAGAATCCCAAAATGATTTGGATTGGAAGAGACTTTAAAGTCCATCCAGTCCCACCCCCTGCCATGGGCAGGAACACCTTCCACTAGCTCAGGTTACTCCAAGCCCTGTCCAGCCTGGCCTGGAACACTTCCAGGGATCACCCAAATCTCACATTTCATCTCCTGCCTTATCCAAACCACATCCTCTTGCTGCTGCCACCAGCTTTGGCACATCCATAGGGTCCAGGGTTGCAAAAAGATGTAGAGCTGTGGCAACCCATGAGTTATACTTTTCTAGGACAGATTCTTCCTTCCCTTCAGATTCTGGAAAGCTGCTATGAGGTCTCCACACAAACTTCTCTAGGATCATCCCCATCTTTTCCACCCCATTGCTCTGGGCAGGGACACCTCCCACCAGCCCAGGTTGCTCCAAGCCCCATCCAACCTGGCCTGGAACACTTCCAGGGATGGAGCAGCCCCCGCTGCTCTGGACAACCTGTGCCACTGCCTCAGCACATCACAGGGAGGAATTCCTTCCCAATATCCCATCTCACCCTACCCTCTTTTAGTTTAAAGCCATTCCCCCTTTCCTGTCACTATGTGCCTGTACAAAAAGTCTCTCCCCATCCTTTGTCGAAGCCCCCTAAGACACTGGAAGAATCTGTGTGGGTCAGTAACATATAATCTATATTTACATGCTCAAGTACATATATAAGTTTCTCTGAACTATTTTCTGTCCAGATCCTCTGTAACCTATTGGGGCTTTCTGCTTTGTGTTTCCAGGGCCTCAATTTCAGTGGAGCAGATCTTTCCCGCCTGGATCTTCGCTACATCAACTTCAAGATGGCCAACCTGAGCCGCTGCAACCTGGCACATGCCAACCTGTGCTGTGCCAACCTGGAGAGAGCTGACCTCTCAGGCTCTGTGCTTGATGTAAGGCTGCTGCAGCCTGCCAGGGCGGGGCTGGGCTGGACGGTCCTCCGGTTGGAATGAGGAGAATGATGAGCATTCTGTGCCTTCCTGCTGGAGAAGTAGTGCTTACACTCCTAACAGGAGCAAGGCTGTTGTGCTTTGATAGAATTCACTTCCAAACCAGAAATTAAAGCTATACTCTAAGCATTTGTGGTGCTGTTCACCCTCACACCTTCCTGACATTCCCTGCCCTCTGTCCCTGCAGTGTGCAAACCTCCAGGGGGTGAAGATGTTGTGCTCCAACGCTGAAGGAGCATCCTTGAAAGGCTGCAACTTTGAAGATCCATCAGGCCTTAAAGCTAATTTGGAAGGTAAGAAGTTTTGGGTTGTTCATTCCTGACCCTTGTGTTGGTAAATTAGCAGGTGGAAGGTTCAGCTCTGGTTTGTAGAGTCCATGAGAAGAGGCAGCAAGTCCTGGACTGTGTTTGTGACCATATAACAAATTACCAGTTCTGCCTTGACCTCTGCTAACTTCCAGAGCTCTGAGGCAGCAGCATTCTGGAGCTCCTGTGTTTCTGACTGGTTTTCCTCACATAACTCCTCTGTGTGTGTCCCAGGTGCTAACCTGAAGGGTGTGGACATGGAGGGAAGTCAGATGACGGGAATTAACCTCAGAGTTGCAACGCTGAAAAATGCGAAACTAAAAAACTGTAACCTCAGAGGAGCAACATTGGCAGGAACTGACCTGGAAGTGAGTTGGGATTCATTTTATACACTAACTAGTCAACTGGTAATTTGGGGATTGGTGGATTTTGGCTGATCTGTCCAGCTTCAAAGTAGGATGTAGATAAGGTAAAGGTAGGTAAGGGGAAGTTTGGAGTTAAGTTCTGGGTATATTCAATTAACTTTGGTTTTTCTTCTCCCTTTCAGAATTGTGATCTCTCAGGCTGTGACCTACAAGAAGCTAATTTGAGGGGATCTAATGTAAAAGGAGCCATCTTTGAGGAAATGCTGACACCTCTGCATATGTCTCAGAGCGTCAGATAGGGACAGGAACACATCCAAGAGGAAGGAATGCAAACATTTCTCACAACTCTCTTCACCTCCTCCACTTCCTGAGCTAGAAGTAATGGCTATTAGACAACTTGCATTTGCAGTAGTGCCTAAGTAAACTCTTTTTGATCACTTTTGGGGAGGGAATTGTTGTTTCAGACGTAGAAACAGGCAGTTTGTACCTCTGGGAACAGTGAGGAAGTTGTCTGGTTCCAGAACCAGAGTGTGGCTGGTTTGGGGGAGAGGCTTCAAATAGTTTCATTGTTTAGCATTGCTGCACTTTGGAATGCATTTTAATTTATAAAGCACAAGATATGCAATTCTATTTTTGAAATCTGTAACTGCAATATGTATAGAAGATGTTACTCATGTCTAGGAGCAACAAAGTTCAGGTTTACAGGTAGACAGGTGGATTGACAGTGAGTGTCCGCGTTCCTGCAGTGTGTTCGTGACAGGTGTGGTCAGCCTGTGTCCACAGGATGTGGCCAGGTACTCTGCTGGGGGGAAAATAGGGGGCTTGGCTGTCCTCACACAGGTGAGACATTGCTGTGTAGTAGTTGGAATCAGGTGTAGAGCAGTTTTAGCATCCAAACTGTGCAGAGGAAGAGCTTCCAGGGCAGGGACCTGCTCACACCCCAGGCTGAGTGGAACATCCCTTGTAATCCTCTCCAAATGAGTGTGAAATTGTACCATCCATCACAGCTGGCAAGAGAAATTCTGCTTTCCCATGGCCTGACCACTCCAGACTGGAGTACCTGTAGATTCTTCAGTCTTGGTTGGGAGTTAAGTGTAGAGGAAAACACAGAACTGTCACCAAAGCAGGGAGAAGCACTGGGGGCACAGCACCTGCTCCACCCTCTCCCCTCATGACTCCAGTAGCTGATGGAATGGCACCTGTGTCCCCTCAGTGTACTATGCAAACCCTTCCTTGAAAGCTTGGGCAGAATCCTTTTTCCCAGCCAGATCTCACTTTTCCACTTTGGGCTGCTTAAAGTGGCCGTAAAAGCTTCTTGCCTGGGGCCAAGTGTCCTCCCCAGCTGCTTTCCCTGGGAGCAGACAGGGCCCAGTGGGAGCTGTGCAGGGCAGGAGACTCAGCATCCACTTCCCTGGAGCTGCACTCAGGGCTGAGCTGCTCACTGTAGGGTCAAACTAATTCTCAGCTAACACAGCCAAAAAGCACAGGAAGAAACTATACCAAAAAAGAATCAAGGTGCATCAAGAACTCTTTACCTCAGATGCTCAAACCACCCCAAAGTTAAAGCTAACCTTGAACACAAGGAAATGCAGCTGTGACTGTGTGAATAGACAGGAAGGATAAGAACCAATGGAGCCCAGACCTTACAGAATGTGACCCTGTAGTTTGAGTTCCACAGGTCTTCAGGCGTTGTCTCTTATGCAGTGCAGATTTCCTGTCCTCAAGTCTTGTTGTCTCTGTTGTTGTGACAAAAATGCTGCTTTGCCATCCGTCTGGGAAGGTTAGTGCTTAGTTCTGGATCAGGAGATGACTGGTTTGGAGGGGGAGTTGCAGGATTCTCCCTTATTTTCATGTTGGCTTTGTCTCAGGCGTGTGACATGAACTTCCAGGACTCGAAATCCCAGTGCGGCGTGGGTCAGAATTGGGATTTTATTTCCTCCAGATTCCTCTGGATGAGGCTGTAGGACAACACCAGATCCCTGGTGGATTGACCTCTCGATTCAAGGGAACTATTGCAGTGTGATTTTGGAGTCCTTTCTCCCACCTCATGGCTTTCAGTGAGAGTGACGTGTATGTTGCAGTAGAAGATTGCTAGGGCTAGAGAAATAAATGAATTATTTTTCTTTATCATATTTTGTAGTTGGCAGAAGGAAAATATTGTATGGAAAAGAAAAAAAAAAACCTATATTTTCATAATCACTCTGTATAAAATCTGTTTGAACTTTCACCGAAGCACTATTGAGCAATCACGGCATGTGGCGTCATCACTCACAGCTGAACTCGAGGTACCTCTTTCTGCTAGGGCGAAGCTGTGTGAAGAGCCCAAAGTGGCCTGGACAGAGATTGCAGGTTGCAGCCTGATTTCAGTCGCAGTAATAAAAGTGTGAAAAACTGCCTTGCTTGTCTTCATTAAACTCCATCTGACCTGTTTGGGGGCAGTCGACACGCTGGAGAGAAGGGATGGGACATCCAAAGGGACCTCGACAGGCTTGAGTGGCCAATGCAAACCTCATGGAGTTTGACAACATGAAGTGCAAGGTCCTACATCTGGGTCAGAGCAATCCCAGGCACAGCTACAGGTTGAGTGGGGAAGGAATTGAAACCAGCAGTGAGGAGAAAGACTTGGGAGTGACAGTGGATGAGAATCCTGAACTGCATCCCAAGGAGTGTGGGCAGCAGGTCAAAGGAGGTGATTCTTCCCCTCTGCTCTGCTCTGGTGAGACCCACCTGG